ACGCAACAAAATCCAAATTATGGAAACAAGTTACAAGGTGTAATGAGTTTTTACCTGTCGTTATGGTATAGGTATATAGTTGGGTTTTATTAATGCTTGAACGCTTTCCAGGCTTCTCATACACTCCCACACCTGCACAGTTGCCCTCGGTGGGGTTTCAGCAGCCCTTCCCACGCTCATGATCACGAACATGGCAACTCAAGCCGCGCATGGAAATGGGTGGCTAGGAGAAAGCTAATGCCATTTACCTGGTAATGGCTATATCTTCTGTTTTAAAGCATATGGCAACTAAATGTTCTGATTCATTAGTATTAATCTTGCTAATGATTAGCGTATCCCGTTCCGGTTTTGTACGATATAATTCTTTGAAATCCCTGTTGCATTATACAGACAAACACAGCAGCACACTGCAAACAGCTAGAGAGCATGGAGCCACCCCCGCCTGGCAGAGTGTCCCAGACAGCCATCACCCTGATCTTGGTGACGCTGCTGTCAGAGGCCTGGGTTAGCAGTGGAAGGCTCATGCACCAATGTGCAAACTCCCATCTGCTGAGTTCAGCTGTAATACTGGTTTTGTGCTCTCAACCTTCAAAACCTGTTGGGTTGGGACAGGGAAGAGAAGGAAGCCAGCCGTTTTGATCATGCAAAACGGAAGTAAATTCATAAAAACAAGATTTGAGTTGTATTTTAAGAAAAAAAAAAAAAACAACAAAGAAAAAGGAGTACAGCTCCAGTCCACAGCTGGTAATAATCCAGAGGACCACTGTTGCAACAGCGACGTTAGGGATTTATGCCAGGAGGGGACATGGCCCTTTGGCTGCAGGAGGGACTTTGCAAACACCAGACATGCAGAGTCATGCAGCTGAAAGCTTTCCCCATGGCTGCTTCCCTGCTAGTCCTGTGCCGTGAGGGGAGCAGGGAAGAACAAGTACAAGCTTTTAATTCCCCCCCCCGCCACCCCTTGACCTATCAAAGTGTTTTAAACTAGCCACAGAGGCAGCCTGGCAGCCTACGGAGACTGGCCCAACAGTGCAGGTGAGCTTAAGCCTAAAATGCCGACGGAGGCGGCTGCCCCAGAGCGCTGCCAGCGCAGCACTTCCCACCCACAGCTTCTTTGCCCTGCGCTGCAGAGCGGCTTCTTGGAGACACTTTCCTAGTGGGAATAACCAGGTTCCCTCCCTGCTTTCCCTCCTGACCCGTCCATTGTGCTGCCTTGCAAACAGCTTCTCACTACGTTTTTAATGCATCAGGTTTAAGACAGCAGCTTCTTTGCCTGTATGGACATACGTGGCACAAATCGTGCATCCGGGTTTCTCAGCCTGCCCAGCAGCTCTGGTGCAGGCAGGAGCTCCGATGGCCACACAAAGTGGGCTGCAGGCAGCAACCTGCACAGTGCCATGCACGTGTCCTGGCAACCCATCCTGCTGTAGCGTGGTAGGACCAGGTTTTCCCTGCAGGAGAGGTTTCCAGTGTCCATCAGCCCATGGGGACACCATGGTCTCACGCGCTCTGTCCTTTCTGCTCCGAGAGCAATCAGAAATCCAGCACAGGCACCTGGACACGCAGGTCAGTGCCTGCAAGAGGAGGAAGCAGGAGATGTCGACACAAGTGGAGGGGAACCCAATGTGGCAACTGCGTCCAAACCAGCCACGTCATGCAGCCCCCAGGCAAAACTGATGGAGGATCATCAGTCATCTGCAAAGTCGGTGCAACCGTTCCCATACGGGGTGACCAAATTCAGCTTCTGCTGGAAGGTTTTGGGAGCACTGCACAAACCTCGTGCTTCGTGCCAGCCACCAGACCCCCAGCAGGGCTTAGGGAAACCCCTCAGGACCAGTCACGGCATCGCTGCCAAGGGCAGATTTTTGCACCTTTCTCTGAAGCAGCTGGTGCTGCCAGATACAGAGGGCACATACCGATAGGGTTGTGCGCCTGTGTATGAAGCCCAAAATGAAGCCTTGCCTCCACTGCCAGGTCCAGGAAAGATTTCACCAATACACAAATAAGGGGCACTATTTTTCCCCTTTCTCTACTCCTGAAAAGCTAGGACAGAGCGGTGAGAAGCTGCAGCTGAGTGGCAGCAGGAGCACAGGCTGGGTGCAGGCACGTCACCCTTTCCAGCACGGGGGCTTCAGCAGGCACCGTCCCTGGGCACACAGCAGGATAAGAGCACTGCAGATCTACCGGCACACTTGTCATAGGCTTGCTTCCCAGCTGCTCTGGAGATTAGCATACATGGCATTTCCCTCTGGTTTCAAGCCTCTTGGCTCTTCTCTAGCCCCCTGCAAACATTTGCTGTCCCATCTCCTCTATCCTTTCAACTGCCCCTCCATCTGCAAAAGCATTAATACAAATCACTTGCACAGCCACTTACTTGCACGCCCTTTCATACGAGCTCAGCAGCCTTTTCCTTTCCCTGGAGCTCTGAGGTTTAAACCTTGTGCTCTGACTAGAGATAGCAAATCCAGCAGCAAATGTTCTTTGAAAGCAAGAAGGAACTAGAGCTCTTTTACCAACAGCTTGATGAAGTTCTCCTCCAGCATCTCTAAGAGCGCTTGCTTGTTGCAGAGTGACCAAAGCTCATTTGGACCATTTCTCTGGGCTAGGAAGTGTCATTCTCAGAGTGCAACACGGCACTGGCAGCAGAGAGGGGTTTTCCAGCCATCCAGCTCGGTGGATTAGCATGGAAGTACATCACAAATTTTTACGTAACCAGTGGCTGTGCTTGCTCAGACTTGTTATATATGGGAGTTTTCTCCATTCAGTGAGCAGGGGAAGGTTTTAAGAGCAGCTGAGAAAACAGGACTAGAGGCAACTCAGAGCTGCAGAAGTTGCAGATGTTGGTCGTGCAAGCACACAGGAACCGTTGTTCTTGTGTAGGCACAAGTGCACACGTGTGTCCTCAGAGATAGAGGTGCGAAAATTCTTTCCTACTCCAACATGCATATGAAGACCCTGATGACACTACTCTTGCACACATCTTTCTGGACACAGCTGTATCTTTGTTTCAAAAAGGAGGTCTTGGTAATCCTTCCCTACATGATGAAACGATGTTGTCATTAACCCTGAAGTAGGTGATTGCTTTGGGAAGGAATCAGATGCACAGATTATTCAAATTTTGCCAGGAAGGGGAAAGCTGAACTGGGATCCTGCTTGCACTGCAGAGCGAGGGGTGGAGGGCAGCGAGGTGACCATCAGCCAGAGGAACTGCTGTTAGCAAGGGGCAAATACCAAGCCCCTTTTTGTGCCATATTGTTTGCTCTCTGAAGAATGTTGTGTTTGTCTTGCTGGCTACTTCTGGGATATGTATGAAAGAGCATTTTTCATGCGCAGCAAGTTAATTATTAGCTATGGACAAGTGGCCACTGAACAATTAGAAATCACAATACAAGGAAGAAAGCACAACAGAACACCTTTCATCTTAACACGGAAATAAAAGCCTTTTTCTTCTACCGGGAATTACCCTTAATAAAAATGAGTCATTTAACACCCTGAAATCAAATTCCTCTGAATGTTTATAAAGACTTTCCTTGGCACTTATCACCTTCTCAAGAACTTGGAGCACACAGGTAGATCAACAGCCCTGCTCAGGAAATGCACATTCCCACCACTGCACCATGCAGTGTCCAACAGCACACTCGGTTCAGGCCAAAGAAAACAGTTCAGTGAAATAAGACCCTTGGCTTCCTCTGAGCCATCACTCAGTCCAAAACAAAGGCAAGGTCAGACATAGTCATCCTGAAGACTATGGACACACAGTTTGGTTTGACATTCCCCAACAGCCATAATTCTGAGTCCCGGCCAAGGGTCAATTTTGGTGCAGTAGGTTTGTTAGATATACAGGTGGGACAGTGCTTTATTGGTTTAAGTCTGATTCTTGGAGGGGTGGGGGGCAAATCCCTGCATCTCACTAACTTTACCAGCAGCTGAGGAACAAAAAAAAAAAAAAAAAAAAAAAGAGGTAAAATATTACCCCTTTTCTCTTTTGCATGTCCTTGAAGAGATCAGGGAAACAAAGAGCAGTAATTAAATACAGGCTTCAGATGGGAACTCTGCTCTATAGGAAACATAAGGAAGAAATTTGTACAATGAGTGTGGTAAGACACTGGCACAAGTTGCCCAGAGAAGTTGTAGATGCCCCATCAGTGTTCAAGGTCAGGTTGGATGGGGTTTTGAGTAACACGACCTAGTGAAAGATGTCCCTGCCCATGGCAGGGGGGCTGGACTGGATGATCGTCAAAGGTCCTTTCCAAACCAAACCATTTAGTGATTCTGTGAGAGCAGGTTTTCCTAAGGAGTGGTATTTGCTCTCAGGCTCACAAGTGAACAAGCCTTGTTTTCACTGTGTGAACAACATTGAAAGAAAATATGACCCCAGCTATTAAACTATTAGAAATAGCTTTATCTTTTGGCAAGGGTCAAGTGAACAGTTGAGCTCCAGGTTGCCACCTGACTCCCATGCCTGCCAGGGCTCGGTGGCTTTTGTACCATTTTTGGACTTCAGCCTTGTGATGGGCTTTTCTGATTTACACATGTAAGAACAGATACCGTTTCTGATTTTGAACAAAATCTCTTCTGGTTTGGCCGAACTTGCTTTTTATGCTGTGCACACCACCATTGTTGCCTGTCTGTGGGACGCTCTGCCTGGGGCACTCCACTCTGACAGACACGTTGGTGGCTTGCAGGCATTGCATTAACCAAGTTTGTCATAAGAACAACTCCATTTTACAGAAGGGAAGACTGGGGTGTTGGGATGAGACCCATGGGCAGTCATGATGCCATGCAGCAACACAGGCAAGAACAGAGTTATCAGCTCCCTCTTTCCCGTTCAATTGCTTGACAGAAGCAATTATATGCTATATTTCTCTCTAGCTCAAGTAGCCACAACCCTTGTACCCTCCAGGCATGAGGATTATTAGACGACTTGATCAGTTAAGTAATCATTTTGCAAATGTCCTTATTCACCAACTTCTGTGCTTTTTCCAGGGAATGCAAGAAAAATGACTTTACTAGCATTCATCTTCCTGCTTGCCTTTCTCCCAGCTGAATCTGCAAAGAGCAGATACCTCCCCAAGGCAGCAAGTAAGTGCAACCTGTCTGGGGCACAGGTCTTGTGGGTGGCCTAAGACCAGAGGTGGCATTACTAAGGGGGGGGCAGGGTTCAGGGAGTGTCTCTACCCCATCAGTGCCTATCACTGCCATGGGACCTTTCAGAACACGCGATGCTGCACAGCCCTGTGTCCATGCTTGCCCCGGTACACCCAACCTGCTCTACGGTCCCCATCAGGTCGCGTAGCACAGTTGACATTTACAGCCAACCTGTTTTCCTCTTGCAGTCTCAAGCCCTGTGTTCGGACCACGGCAGGTATATGGTCTGCTTGACGGGTCAGTTGCCGTGAAATGCTTCTACCCTCCCACCAGTGTGAACAGACACGACAGAAAGTATTGGTGCAGGGAATCGGCCACAGGCTGCATGACCATTCTCTCCACCAACGGCTACATCGCTCCAGGCTACCAAGGCAGAGCCTCCATCACTGACTACCCGCAGGAAGAAAACTTCCAGATTAACATCTCTGCGCTTACAATGGCAGACGCAGGCACCTACCAGTGCGGTATTGGTATCAATGGCAGAGGGCTCTCTTACAAAGTCAATCTGGATGTTTCTAAAGGTAATTACAGTCTCTGAACTCCTTAAAGTATTATTTTCTTTTACCTTGTCCCTGCCTTTTTAATAGGGCTCCACAGATAGTCTGTCCAGTGTCAAAGAGCTCAAGATGCTCCATGCTTTCAGGAAACAGCAGTTTTCGTTTTCCCCTGTGCTCGTACAGAATGAATTTTTTGACCAAAAATGTGGCATAAAAATCAGATTAAATGAACCTCATCTTAAGGTGACAAACATTGCTTAGGAACTGCTGACCTCTCTCAGCCACTAAAATTTAGGGAGGTGCAAGTCAGAGGGCAGAACTGCCCGTCACTCCAATGTACCCTCCCCTCCAACCCGCAGCTGAGGCAGTGCAAGCCAAGCCTCTGCACAAATCCACGCGAGCACGGTGTGCAGGATGGCACCACGCTGCTGGGCAAGGCCCAGGGTGCAGAGCGTGGTGCAGTCCCTGGCAAGAAGGCCCTGGGAGAAACCCTGCTACAGCACAGAGACCTCAGTCCTGAAATGTGTGACAGACACGGGACACAGCTGGGTGGATCGTGCTCTGACCAGGAGGGGCACACGATCACATAATAGAGCAAAGAAGAGAGAAACCCTATGCTAAAAAAACCCCTTCAGAGGTATAGGGGAGTTGCGCACAGTTACCAACAGAGCAGGCAGTAGACGTTGACCGGTGTCTCTGTATGCACAGGTCCACATGTGCCTGAGGGACCTGAGCTCTTCTACGTGAAGCTGTACAGCACTTTGACCATATCCTGCAGCTTTGGGCGTGACTATGAGAGTGCGAGGAAATTCTTGTGCAAAATGGAGAAAAACAGCTGCCTTAACATCATCGATAGTTATGGGAATGTTGATAAGGATTACACAGGGCGAGCTCTGCTGAGCAATGAGGACATTCCAGGCTCATTCAGAATCGTGATAACTCACATGGGATGGCAAGACTCTGGCTTGTATCTGTGCGGGGTCGGCTCCTATGGGGAGTACGGAGAAACAAAGGAACTAGATGTGCATGTTTATGAGGGTGAGTAAGCTATTCCCAGAGTTTTTACCCCTTCATCTCTGCTTCTCTTTAGAAGCATTACTAGTAGTCTCACTTTATTTAACAAGAACTTTAATTTCCCTTTGCAGCATGCTCTTATCCTATCCTCTCACCTAGATACTTCTTTCTATTCATTTAACTATCTATAATCACCATCACCAGTAAAGGTTGTATCAAGACTTAACTTTCCCAGCAGTGGCTAGCTATCTTCCCCAGTCTGGCTAGCCCAAAACTCCAGAAGGCAAATTCTGCCTACCAGTTTGAGACAAGCAAACTGTCTCTTCAAGTCTTAATTCCTTAAATCTCAAAATGACAGGTATAGAAAGGAGAAGACCTGCCCTTCCCCTAGCAAAGGGAGCAAAACTTCGAAATGTCAGTACACAAGGACAGCAACCACCCAGTGAATCTGGGAAAAAGAAAGGGCTGACAGATCCTTTAGAGTCAATTCCTAGCAGTGCCAGGACAGTATCCTACTGTCTGTACCCCTGAGCTTCACCTAGCCTTGCTTTAGCCACAACAGCTTTTTTTGATCTGATAATATTTATTCTCTTGGGAGAGTGCCACATGGGCAAATGTTATACATGTCTAACTGCTCATTTCATTTTTATCTCCAGAGGCAGATGTTCCTCAAGGAAAGCCCACAATAACTGGAGTAAAAGGAAGTTCAGTAACTTTTGAATGCCACTATGGGCTTGTAAAAACATCCATAGTGAAGTACTGGTGCAAGTGGAGACAGCATGGGTGTGCTCGGATCATAGACAACACTGGGTATGTGTCGCCAGCATACGAAGGAAGAGTGGCCATGTTCCACAGCCCAAATAACACAATCACCATCATCCTGAACCAGCTGAAGGACACTGACGAAGGCTATTACTGGTGCATGACAGAAGAGGAGAAGGAGCAGCAATCATCAACTGAGCTGAAGATCACGGACGGTATGAGCTCGCACGTTGGCAGTTCTCTGCCTGCTCAGTAGGTACAAAATCTCCTAAGCACCGCAAAGGAGCAGATCTGGCTTTTTGGAAAGTGTGAGGTCTAACTCTGAACTTTTATCTCCTAAGGCAAAACATTGTGCCGATCCCCTCACACCCCAGTAGCTTTAAAATGGAAACACGAGGTTTCAGTTTTATGGGAAAGTGTTCACAAAGTTTCTCATGCGAGTATTTCTTAAGCCTTGCAGAAAAGCCCCCAGCTTTCACCCAGGGATGCATATACAGCATCCTTAACATTAACTTAGCAATGTAAGGAGCACTTTCCCTCAAAGATACATCTCCTGGTTCCCCATCTCCAGCAGCACCACTACCTGTTGACTGCCATTCCCACCACTGAAACCACTAACATCAGCCCTGATGTTCTGTGTGCCCTTGCAGGACAACCCGCACTGAGGGGAAAGAATGACGTGGAAGCACAAGTGGGTTCACGGGTCGATTTAACTTGCTCTTATCCATGCAAGTACTACTCCTACCAGAAGTACTGGTGCAAGTGGAGCAACACTGGCTGCACCCCCATGCCTGCTTCTGACCAAAGGCAGCCAGGACCAGATGTTACCTGTAGCACTGACAACAAGACAGTTATCCTAAGCTTTGACTCAGTGACAAAGAATGACCAAGGGTGGTACTGGTGTGGAGTGAAGCGTGGTGACCTCTTTGGGGAAACCATGGCAGCCTACCTGCAGGTGACTGAAGGTGAGCTCCAAGGCAAAGGCAGGCAGGGGTTTCCTGCTCCTCAGGGCTGTAAACTATGCTGCCTTCTGTGAGAGAAAAGTCCTCTCCATATCCACTAGGTTGCAGCACCTCAAAACAGAAGTGCTCTCATCCAGGCAGCCTCCCAGACTAGGTGCCAAGAGCACCCTGATTCTGCGCAACTTGTCATAGATGTTTTCATCCACTCACTGGTTTCTGCTTCCCGGTCACAAAAACCCCCACCGGTCTAAAAATCACGTCCTTCCCCACCATTTTTACTTTTTAACCCTGTCCTTCCTAATTACTACTATTACAATTTGTAGCATCATTCAGTTTAAGCAACATCTGACACCTGTCAGGTGAAGGACTGCATGTGGTTCAGAGATGCATCTTGCTCCAGGGAGCTTATTATCTTAATAAACAGGAACGCAGTAGGGAGGAAGGAAGGAAGGGCCATCACCAACTCCCCTTGGACAGCAAGGGGCTTAGCCTCAGCTTTGGTGCAGTATCTTATTTTTCTTGAAAAGGAATATTGTTAGAAGCAGAACAGAGAAAAAGTACAACTCTAGATATCCCACATGCAACCATCCTAAGTGGATAACAGTTGAGGTGAAGACAAAGAGAAACAGCCTCATTTCACTGCCTTTGGCAGGCAAAGAGCTAGAAATAAAAGCAACCAAGTATTCAAAATTTATTAAGGGAATACTAGAGGCAGGGCTTAGAAATGCAGGACTTCTCAAAAGCATATAGGCAGAGAGCACTTGAGATTCTTGTAATACATTATTTGGAATTAGGTTATTTCAGATCTCTCAACCCCATTTTAAAGAGCCTCTCATGCACAGCCAAAACCCACTACAGTTGCACGTGCGCCAAATACGCCCAACTAGTTCTTGTGTCGCCGTCTCCGTGCTGCTGCTCACGCGACTAACTGCCCTTCTTCCCTGGGAAACACAGGAAGCAGAGGCAACCCCAACCTCGAGCTCCTGGGTGTCGATGCCCCCAGCCGCACCGAGGGCGACCTTGCTCCCCAAGGAAGAGCTTTCAGCGGTGCTGCGGTGGAAAGCGCGGCTGCCTCGGAAAGGTCAGTTCTCTCCAAGCCTCTGTCATTTATCGTTTTTGTGAAGTTTGTGTTAACCCGTTGTTGGTACTGTGTTTGCATACTGCACGTGTGGTATAGCAACAAAAAACTTCTTGTTGCCAAAGAACTTAGCTCAAAACGTCAGAGGAAAAGAAGCAAAAAAGTTACAGCAAAAGGCAAGATGTCATGAAATTAATCACCAGCTCAAGAAAATACAGTCCCAGAAGGGAACAGTTAGAGATTCCAGGTACAGAAAAACTAATTGAAAATATTTCTGTCAAGATTAGAGAGCTTTCCTTCACACATTCATAACCAAGCTGCTGATGTAGCCCGTTTGGCACAACCTCTGGCCTATGTTTTCATTTGCTCCCCTGTGATGTGCTGGGATCCAGTTCATTAACAGAATTGCATCGTGCTCACTCAGATTTACCATGCTATATAGATTTTAGACTGCTGGAAATTCATATACATTATTCAGTCTTGAATAATTTAAAAAAAAAAAAAAAAGGCATTTCACAGCTTAGTGGTATCTTTCCCTCCATTCCAGCTCTGACCAAAGCCATGGCCCCGATGTACTTGCTTTAGTCCTGGGCCCTCTTGGTGCCGTGCTCCTGATCCTCATGACAGCTTTCGCCGTTTTTAAATACAGGCAGCTGAAGCGGTCGGGTGAGTCCCTGCCTTTTCTCAAGAAATATCAGCAATATTAAGATGAAGGCGTTACCTTGTGCCTGCTGCCATCTCTGCTGGGCTGAGCTGCTCCCCGGTACCCCCTCACGTGATGGGCAGACAAGGGACCCTGCTTCTCCCACTGAGCCCATCCACACAGCTCCAGCACCCAGCATACAGGGTGCCCGGGCTGGGACAGAGACCACCCCTCTGCTTTGCACAGGGCATTGCACGGTGCCTCCTTGCACAGAGGCAGTTCGGATGCCGATGCGCTTGCGCCGGCTGAGCAAGCATGCAGGGTATTTATCTCCTCCCTCTTAACAGACCTGGTGTCCGTCGGGAGCTACAGGACAAACATCAGCATGTCGGACTTCGAAAGCGTGAAGGAGTACAGCGCAAGCAATAACGCCTGCGAGAAAGAGACCCAGGAGACTCAGATAGGAGGGGACGGTAAGCTGCTGACTGATGGGATTGCCCTCCATCCCCAGCCCCGGGGCAAGGGGCACCGGGGAGGGGCTTGCAGAAGGACCCTGCAAAAGCCACAGAAATACCTGCCCCCACCCTAACACCTCCCTTTGCCTCCCTGCAGAGTTAATCACCACCATGGCCCCCCCGGAAAGCGCTGCCGAGACAAAGAAGGCAAAAAGGGTAAGAGGAGGCGGGAGAGAGCCCACTGACCTGGGAGGCACCACCACAGCTCTCCAGCCTCTGCCGAAGGGGCTGCCTCTTCCCAGGGGCCTTATTTATACCCAGGTGCTCTCCATCTTACCTGGACCTGGCCACCTGCTGCAGATCAGCCTCCATGGGGCAGGGGGGACAGCTTAACCCTTTCCTGACCCCACGTTTTAGCAGAGACAATAATACAGTACACCAAGTCAGCCCCAGGTAGTGTCAGGAAGGTTGGGGCTGGGTTGTTACATTAAATATGAAATCCTGGGATAAGCAGATGACCAGAGGCCAGAGCACATCCCACCTCCCGGCCTTCCCCCAACGCTGTGCTCCCATGCGGGCAGAGGTTCAGGGGGCAGGGGTAGGCAGGGAGGTCTCTGCCATTGCAAGGGCTGTGACTTGCTCTTGTGGGCCTGGCAAGCCCCTGCCTCCCCCCTGCCTCCCCTCCCCTTGGGTAAGATCATGGTCAAGTGGCACCACTCAGCAGTAACCGAAGGTGCCGGCTGCAAGCCCTTTAAAAGTCTCTAACCAAAGGCGATACGTAGGTGGTGTAAGTGCCAAGAGCTGAACCAGAGCGATAAAGGAAACTATCAGGAAACCAGTGAACCCGGCAGCTTTAGGACAGGTGAGCCGGATGCTGACATGCAGGGATAGGCATGCCAGGGATTCCCAAACCCGCAAACGTTTGGGGTCTTCCCAGGGCGGAGCAAAGGCGTGATGCTCTCGCATCCGCATGACCCGCCAGATTGCTCGGTCCGCCTGTATCATCCCAAGAAGCTCACAGCCCTGCGGTGCTGCCCGCGTTAATGCTGTCCTTTCCCCTGCCACGTCCTGCTGTCCGTCCCCGGCCACCTAACAGTGTCCTCCTGTCCTTCCCCAGAGCTCCAAGGAGGATGTTGACCTCGCCTACTCCGCCTTCCTCCTCACCTCCAGCAACATCGCACAGGGCAGCTCCGGGGGGGATAGCGCTGCCCCGGCCGTGTCCCCCCTGAACTAGGAGGGCGAGAGCTGAAGGCGAGGGACCGAGAGGCGGCAGCAACTGGGACCGGCTCTACCTTGAGGATCAGAGCAAGATATCAGCAAACACCACTGTTTATAGCTACCACAATTTGCTATAGCTTGACCTTTTTTTTTGCTTAAATTCAGCTTCGAGCAATGATTTAGGAGGAATTGTGTGATGCCAAATGGGGTGGCTGGGCTGGAGGTGCCGGTCTGAGTGAGCAGGTTGGACTGGGAAATGGCAGGAGCTTGAGTTGGCTTAGCCCACCAACAGCCCGAGCCCCACCAGTGCCCTTCCAACACTGTGGGCTCTCAAAGGCCAGAAGGCGCATTTAAAAAAAATCTCATTTTCTTTTAAAGGCAGCTGGAAAACCCTCTAGAACCACTCGCGCTTTTGATTCCCCTAAGCTTTCTCATCCAGAGGGCAGTACCTGCAGACCAGATGTGGTCTGAAGTGTTTTTACGCACAAGCAATAAAGAATACCACTGGCTTTCAGCAGACTGGGGCACTCGCAGTCCGTGGGAGGGCACGGGGAGAGCACACCTGAAGAGGCGCAGTGAGGGTGCATTGGCTGGGTGGGGGGGGAAGCTTTCTCCTCCTCTTACTGCAGCATTATGGCATCACATCTGGTGTTGCAAACAGCACAGGATGGTAGAAGAAACCCACAATTAATGGAGCTGAACAGGAAATGTTTTGAGTAATCTCACATGCGTTTTCATCAACAGCAAGAATGGCATTAATTAGTGTGACAAGCTATCAGCAGCCTATACAGCTGCTAGGTCAGGCAATAGGCACCCGTGTTCCCTGGCACTGTATTTGCGTAGTACAGACCAAACTCCCAGGAGCACCTGAGCCAACAATCTCCCATTTCTGACTTGGAGTCGGAACAACTGAGCCTGGTCCATGCTCCTCTGCCACGGAGCCACCCCGCTGAGAGTGGCCTTGAAAACCCACCCTTTGCTTAATAAACCTGAGACACCCATCGCTCACACGCTTTCCCTGGCTGACTTCATGTTTATCCAGGAGGAAACGAGGATGACTGTAATTAAATGTTGTCTCGGTCTTATTTTTGAGAGCGGATGGCTAAACAGAGAAAAGCAATTTATTGATGCATGGATTTCCAAAGAGCAGCACGACACTGCTGTCTGTCAGTTAGGTGCGAGTACAGAAAGCTGAATACCCTGCAGATAAAGCAATGTAGGAAGCAGCGATGATGAAGTTGTGACAAAGCACAGAAGCAATTTTCCCTGAACACCAGGAATGGGATGGGCTGGTGCCTGCCTGGCTAAAAGAGAGGTGTGGAGGTGTCTGACAGGGCCAGAACTGTTCAGGAGAGAAGGGGCAGAAACTGCACAGATAAATTCAAATTCCTGAGCCTGTGTTGGTTATGTGCGGCTCTGAGAGCAAGCCATAAAATATAAAGAATGAGGAGCATCATGCTGGCTAGAGCCTGAGCTGATGGTCTTATAGTAACATCACAAGTTTATTTCTGTTTTAGTAAAATATTAACTACGCTTTAAAATGAAAACAGTATGGTAGCTCAGCAAGGTGTCGGGCTGTTTGTGTTAGCCTACAGACGCAGTTTTCATCAAGGGTAAACACCAAATTATTCCTGAATCATGGACCTCCCCACAATAACCGCTGAGATGAGCTTTGCTCACTGTGAGTAGGAGGGCAGCAGCTCCAGTAGTATTTGTGTTTCCCCTCCCAGCCCCGCATTTGTGTTTGCAGGGCTGCTCTCACATCCACATTGCAATAGTCATCACCTTACTGATACCAAGGCTAGGACCTCAAATGTCAGCTTATAGCTCACCTGCCTCATCTCCCAGGCTGCATCCCCTCGGCAGCACGGTGGGAAGGGGCTTGGAGATCGGAAAAGGTGAGGAGGGGCCAGGACAGGTCTGCGCCTGCCTGGAGTTGCTGGAAGTGAATGAATTATTCTGGTGCAATAGGAAAGGCGTGCGTGTGGAAAGTGTCCCCAGGGGTGAGCAGTCATAAAGCTGCAGGAGAATGCTAAGGTTTGGAAATTTCTGAGAGGAGAAAACCCCTTCTGCTCTCCCTTTGCAAATCAGCTTCCTCTTTTACCTGCCCGCCGGCGCCCTTTTCTCAGCTCCGCTCCTCCCGCACTGTGCTGGGAGCAGCGAGAATGAGCTGAACTCCTGGGAGAGGTGCAGAGGGCAAGAAACGTGGGTGGGCTGAGCATCCTGCCAGCCAGCTCTGCCTGCACCCCTCAGCCCCGGCAGCTGCCTGCCCGCAGCTCCTGCTCCTTCCTGCTGCTGACACTTCCATCTGGCACCTCATTTCCAAAGGGGCACGTCCCCGGGCTGCTGCAGTGCTTCGCAGTGTATGGGAAAGTGAAAACTTAGTTTGACACGAAAGCAATAAATCGTGCATGGATTGAGGCACGCAACCCCTCCGCACAGGATACAAAAATCAATGAAATCTGATAAATAATAATAATTGTGACAGCGTAAGCTGAGGATGTGGAATAAACCCCACACTTCTCACTCAAGCTGTGATCCAGAGCTCACCACAATGAATGGACAGTTCCCCAGGGACCTCACCAAGCAGCCCATCTCCTTCACCAGAGTGTTTGCCAAACAAACCGATTGATTTCCTTTGGTCAGCGACGAGCTGTGGTATCTCATTGCATCACTGCTTCCTTCCTAATGGTTCTTCTTTAACAGAAAATCATGGTAAGTGCAAGATATGTCATTCTTAAATGGTTGATTTCAAGAGCGATGGTGTTGAAAGATCGGCTTTCGTGAACACTGGCAGAGCATGGAGGGATGTATTCACCCGTTCATGCCCTGGCACCAGGACAAATGAAAGTACGCTGCAAAAAGACAAGAGAAAGCAAATTAAAAGAAACAAAGCCGTGACAGGCTTTCCTTTGGCATAAGCATGTATTTGAGAAAGGATAGTGAGAAATCAAGGAGCTCTTCCCTTTAAAAGTGAATCACCAAATCCCGCTCAACGTGAAGCACATGCGTATGCACTATAGGCAAATGCTGGTGAACTCACCCAGACAGGTCACCAGCCAGGCCTTTTTGGGCAGGGACCAGGAGTCTCCTCCTCCTCCTCCTCTGCAGCAATTCATTCTGCTGGCGCCCGATGAAAGGCGCAGCGCCCACCGGACGGACGCAAGGCTCCGGTGATGGCGGGGTGTTGCCGGAGGTCTTGACCAGGGTCCTCCTGTGATGGGGATGAAATCAAAGCAGTAACTAGGTTCTCCTCGAGGACACGAGGACTTTATTCCGCAGTAACAAAATCCTGGTAAAAAGCCTCTTCTGCAGCTAAAGCCTTCCCTGTATCACCTCTGTAGCATCATTAGAAATTGCCCAAGCTGGGAACAGCCAGCCCTCCATCCATACCAGCTGCTGAAGCTTGCCCGTGCCCGTGGGCAAGAGAGGGAGAGCTGGAGAGTGTTGGACTGTCCCATGGGAACAGAGGTGCTGAGAAGAGGTTTGTGCAGGCCTGACGGGTTCAGACCTAGAAGCAATGACTTGACCCTAACAGCAATAAGAGCTGTTCGGAGCCAGGGAAGAGCATGCAGCGCCCTGGCTGTGCTTGTGCCGCCGCAGCCGGCAGGAGTTTTGGTACACCTTACTTAGCTTAGTTGATCCCTAAAGCAAAATGCACCAAGTCAGAGATCTACCCTCCAGTCTTACTCAAGCCTTATGTCTAATGAATGCAGCAGTACGACTCTATCACTTGAAATACTAGGACTAGAGCGCTACCAGGGACATAAACATCCAATTGCTCTCCAAGCAGCTTGTGCTAATCAGCAGCATTTACCTGGGCCCTGACACCAGGAGTATTTAACACCTCCTGGCTGCTTGGAGAGATGATCTGGGTGGTCTTGGTTCATTTACTAACAAGTTAGTCCTCTGCCTCTCCGATACTGCAGCAATATGTGTATTAACACCTTGTGGGAAAACACAGTGGAAAAGGGATTTAGAGCATGCAGAATTGTGGGTACCAGCAACGTGTGTGCAGCCACTGGCGGCTGAAAGAACCCAAAAGGGGTGAAAACAGACCAGAGCTATACATTATGCACAATGAAAATGGTCTCGTGGACAAGCTGGGGTCCTTCAGGTGTCATTCAGGTGTAAACTTTGGTCTGTCTGGTATGGCAGGAACAGTGCATCACCTCTGGGATGCTAGCATTACCAGGAGTGACAATATCTGCTATGAAAGGGCACCATGGTGAGTTCGGAAAGTTTCACCAACACGAAACATATAATTCCTCAGAATTTTGACACACAGACTCAGCACAGTTTCAAGTGGGGTTTATTTACAGTAATTACAACAAATTTCCACAAAACTTACTACTGAGTGTCAGTAAATTACATAATACATACAAGAACCTTTTTCTGTTCAGCCACCACATATCTTGCATAGAAAGTTTTTTACTGATAAGGCAGAAAATATCACCTCAAAAGGAAACGCAGATTTCTAAGGCCTGACATACCTGCTAGGATCTATTCTTGGAAGCATTTCTCACCCTGTGCACCTCATTTCAGCCAGAGCGATCAGCAGCAGCAGTCATGTAAGACTGAGCCCGGATTTATGAGCACTGCTCTGCACATTAACTACACCAGAGTAGTTCCAGCAGGCACTCAGCACTCATGAATATACATTCCCTATACAAAAATGTTAGAATTTAAACAATACTTCTATTAAATGATCACAGCTTATGTCTGCTAGCAAGAGAAACCCTTTTAGATTTTCCCTTGGAGAGCAGCCTTTGCTAGAAGTCTGCTATGCTATTTATCAAACATGATATTTCCATCTTAATGCAAGACCCTGCTGATGCATTCACCTATGTACCTGGCTAGCAAACACTCAGTAGAGAAGCTGCACTGATACAGTACATTATTTTCCCATTCACCGCTGGCATGTGCGAGGCCCCAGCAGCTTCGTTAGCCCCAGCCATTGGTGGGTCGTTAACGCCTTCTGCTCTCTAACGAGATTTCTCCATCCAGTCCAGCAGGATGTCCAGCTCACCCAGAGATTTAATTGCTGCAGATGTGACATTCAGCTGAAATGATATAAAGGAACAAGGTGTAAGCAAAGACAGCGAGTACAACCCAGTGTAAAGATGTATCTGCGTTAATTATTAGACTTAGTCATCAACTTACCCCTTCGTAGTTTGCAAGTATTTGCTTAAATTTCTCAGCGGATTCCTGTCCACACAGGCACTTATTTTGCTCATGCTAGAAAAATATGATAGAATTCATTAGTTTGGGGGGTTAATTTTCAAAAATAAGAGATCAGTTTCTAATTATGCTGGAAATTACTGTATAGACTGAGACCTTGTTAAACTGGAAAAGGCTGCAGGTCCTTAAACCAGGCGTCAGCTAAGAACAGAGTTTACTCTGATAGACAGAGGGACAGGATAAATATCATTCTTGAGAACTAACGTGGGAGCTGGCTGATGAGTGGCAGGTATAAAAATATCTCAGCGGACATATGCACTCTTCACATCACACTTCTTTGTATTCTTGTTAAAACCATTTTTTATAAATAAAGATTTTGTAACTTTATAAAATGCTTAGGTTTATTTATATACCAAATACTAACAGATGACACTAAGCGCTAGCAATAACCAAGACTTACACACTGCCTGAGTTTCCTCTTCATGCTGAGGAAGGAGTTGGCTATGCTGCTGATTTTTCGGTTGACATATGAATCCTCAGTCTTGCAGTGTTTGAAGACTTTGTCCACGTAGAAGTTGAAGAGTTGATGGGTGATGCAGCATCTCTCTGAAGACTTAAGGAATAAATTTCATTTTTAAGAGGTCTTCCAAAGTGCTGTAAGCCTGTAGTTGCCAACCTTTCTGCCCCCCTCTAGAATAAAGCATCTCTAACACCAAGCATGGTAGCTGAGCACAGTGTGTTGTTTTGACTCATATAAAGCTTTTTCAGTGATGCTTAATATAAACTGATATTATATATAGGAAATTATTTTAGACTGATTTTCCAGGAGATCCATCCTCAGCGAGTCTCGTTGAGTCAACAAAATAAATAGCTGATTTTGTAGCTGGGTATTAGAGACTGAGACCTGAAGCAGTGGCCCATGTCTAGTGCTTCAGAGTGTAAGAGAACTGCAAAATACTTATTTACAATATATTTCACCTCCCATGATCACATTCATCTGCTTTTGGCTTCTTTAATAGCTTTCCACCCAAATCCTGGTTCACCTTGCTATGCTCCACTGACCAAGGTGGTGGAGAGCTGCAGCTAAAGCTCCTGTAACTGGAGCATCACATGTAACAAAAAAAAAGAAAAAAAAGAAAAAAAAAAAATCTCTGCCCACCATTTCTGGAAAGACAGTCAAGGTGAAAGCCCGGTGCAGGAACCGGCAGTGGGACACCCACCTCTTTTCACATACGTGATCCACATCACTTTATCCTCCCTGACCCGTGCTGTCTGCCAGCATCGGTGTTTCACAGGAACTTAGAAGTCATGGTATTGAACAACTTCCCCAAACGCCCTGAGCTCGTACACCTCATGACGGGTGTTAGGATGCTGGCTGGTCAAAATTATTCAGAGAAAAACTGAAGACACGGTAAGGACACCTACCTTAACCTTGTGCAGAGAGTGCGGGTAAGACAAGATGCTCAGAGTCCTGATGGGGTCTCTGGCTTGCTGCACGGGAGAAGACAGAGATGGTGACGTACGTGCTGGCTCCAGAGGGGCTTCGGGAGCCGCCCACTAAAGCGCTTCCCCAGCTCCACAAGAGCCCGGAGCAATACTTACGATGTTGGCTTTAATTGCGGTGAAACCAGACCTAATCTCAGTCACGCTCATTGAAATCCTGCAGGGTCCGAAGTGGAAGATTTTATTCCCAGCTGTCAGCATCAAATTCAGCCAGCATGACGTGGAGAAGAGGCAGAGGAACAAGTGGGATCCCTTCATGCTGTTGCAGGATGTGAACACGGCTGGCTGCCTGGGAGATCTGTTCAGGGAAGACAATATTGCCTTTCTATCGCTCCTAAATAACACAATCGTAATGCTTATGAAAATATAAGTATTCTATATAGTACTTGTACCTGTACACGTGTATTTAAAAAACCACGCTGACTAGTATCTCTTACCCATTTCTTCTTTACTCCCCATGTGCAAGAGAAAAAATAAAATAAAAATAAATATTTAACAGAAGATCCCAAAAGAAGAAAAAAAAAAAAAAAGAAAAAAAACCAGCAAAAGATTGTATGTAAATAGACAAAGTTCTTCTGAAAAATTTTCATTACAAAAATAAATACAGGTAAATTAAATTTTAAAAAGTCTACTGACTCAGAAGCAGCAGGAGGTAACTGCAATTGAAAGCAGCAGATCCCAAAGTCTGATCACAAAAGAAAATCTTTCCCTCAGAAATAGTATGCTTCAAATACAAGTTCTGTTAGCACTGAAAATGAAGGTTTTTAATGGAAAAAATCCTTTCAGAGACATATTATAGGACTACAAGCAAATATATACGAGTGCATAGAGTGAAAGGGCAGAATCAGTATTTTACCTTGTTCTTTGATGTGGGTTCACCTGTCTCACTGACGTCTGACCTGAAGAGCTCCGAAGAACGTGTTTTTATCCAGGTACCGGGAGGAAATGACTCTTGGATTAACTTTTGGGATTTTTCTTGCTTTTCCCAGCATGTATTTCCCTTTGCAATTTACTGAATTAATGAGCTAGTGAAAGGGACCAACTCTCTCACCCACAGGTGTTTCCCTAACCTACGGAGGCGGGAAATCTTGGCATCGCCGTATCATTTTTCATTCGGGAAGAAGGACGCGACCAAAAGGAGGGACCATCATGGGGGTTACATCTCCAAAATGCCAAGCTCGGGGGTTCCCCGCGGCACGGAGCCGCGCTGCCAAGTTCCCCCTGGAGAGGGGCCATTCCCAGCTCCCGCGGAGGCACTGGGGTGCGGGATGCCGAGCGGCATCGCCCCCCCGGGATGCCAGTGGTCCAAACCCCCCAAGGTGGGAGGGTTTCTGGCAATAGGACGTGGCACGCTAGTAAAAGTAGCGTGACTCAGAAAGTTGGCAAGACCTTTCTCCATCACTGTCCTGGCACACAGGGCCTTCACCTCCTGGCTGCGGGAGACCCTGCTCTCGGGCTTGCTCCTCGGGTGGGTGGACACTTATCTCCATAGGCACGTCCCTGGTATTTGGAGACCGGAGATGCCCAGGTAGGAGAGGGCAGGGCTTTGGGAAGACACAGCTCCCACCTCGGTGCCTGGAGAAGTCACTTGGTTTGCAGGAACGCGGGTGACTTAGGTGATAACACGCACAGCCCAAAGCTACCACCCTGCAGAAGGACAGAAATTGCACTCAAACCTTTAAAAGTCCACCAGCCCAGTGGCAGCAAGGAAGTTTTATCCGCAAGCAAAGACTTTGACTGCAAAGTCTATGATTACCCTGCTGCAAGCATTAGCTGCTGAGAGAAACTGATGCAGCTACGGTCCTTGAGCAGACCAGGCACGTTCTCATAGCGACGTTTCAGGTCCAGACTGTCCCCAGGGAACCAGGGTTTGCCAGCTGGGCCATGCCATCATGTGAACGTGGCAGTGCTGGTGCAAAACCCAGGCTGCTCCACCATGCTTTTGGCTCCCAGGCTAGCTTGGTTGTTTCTGTAAGCCCTCCGGAGTTAGCTAAGTTCAGTCTACGAACAAAAATGAGCAGTTAAAAAAAAACTTCCTGGACTACCTGTACCCGGTAGGGAAGGCCGGATGGACTTAGAGGGCATGGAGGTGGCAAAGATGCCCCTCTAATCCCACAGCCAACCTCCGGAGCAGCCACCATGCTCTGGGTGAGAGCAGCAGCCCCAGCCTGTTGCAATGCAGGTACCTCTTGTGTGCCACTGCCTGTGGGCCAGGGCTGTTATATAAAGTTTTGCTGGGTGTGTAATTTATTGATAACCAAGCTTAATCTTGAGCGTACATTCGTCATCAGGGGAAGACTAGGCAAATAGATTTTATGCCCAGGCTAGTCATAGTATTGCACACAGTATTGCTGAAACTACCCCAAATGCACCGAACGTGCCTCCCGCGCCCCGGTGCCTTCGCGCTGTAAAGCAGCCAGCAGGCAGGTCCAGTGCGCAGCAGGTTGCATCTGCCCTTGCTGAGGTGCCGGCGGGATCCTCAGCAACCCATGGCTGATAGCCTCTGCCTTCCTCCCCTAATTCCCAGCTGCTGCCTGTTATGGCAG